CCACGCAAAACGACTTTCGGCACGTTGCAGAACACGTCTGAATGTCACGAAGTGCCACGCCTGCCACGCGAAACGAAGCAACGACGCATTGGAAACCTCCAAAAATGACCACCTCTGCAGAACTTCCCATAGGCACGGCCATACGGAGTTCGTACGAACGGTTGCGGACGGTTGCGGACGGTTGCGACCACAAACGCAACGTCGAGCGAACACAACCTCAACCCCCAGACCCCCAGAGTGAAACGGGAACCCTTGCTATGCATTCGGGGAAAAAAAAGACAATAATATATTTAAATTAAAAGCAAAACATATTTCAAAATCCTCCAAAAAAAAACAAAAAAAATAAAATCCAAAAAAATAAACCAAAAAAAAAACCCAAAAAAATAAAATCCAAAAAGAAAATAAAATCCCAAAAAAGAAATTAAAATCCAAAAAAAAAATAAAATCCAAAAAATAAAAATAAAATCAAAAAATAAAATCCAAAAAAAAATAAAATCCAAAAAATGAAATAAATGCCAAAAAAAAAGTTCTTTTATCTATTTTGGGAAAACTTGTAGGTACTTTTTTCTTTCCACCAGCAGTGAAACCACATTTTGAACATGAAAATAGGGACAAAAATGCATTTTTTGTCCCTATTTTCATGTTCAAAATGTGGTTTCACTGCTGGTGGAAAGAAAAAAGTACCTACAAGTTTTCCCAAAATAGATAAAAGAACTTTTTTTTTTGGCATTTATTTCATTTTTTGGATTTTATTTTTTTGGATTTTATTTTTATTTTTTGGATTTTATTTTTTTTTTGATTTTATTTTTTTTGGTGATTTTATTTTTTTTTTGGATTTTATTTTTTTTGTTCTTTTTTTTGTTTTTTTGGGGGATTTTATTTTTTTGGGGGGATTTTATTTTTGGGATTTTGAAATATTTTTTGCTTTGTTTTTTAAATATATTATTGTCTTTTTTCCCCGAATGCGTAGCAAGGGTTCCCGTTTCACTCTGGGGGTCTGGGGGTTGAGGTTGTGTTCGCTCGACGTTGCGTTTGTGGTCGCAACCGTCCGCAACCGTCCGCAACCGTCCGCAACCGTTCGTACGAACTCCGTATGGCCGTGCCTATGGGAAGCTCTGCAGAGGTGGTCATTTTTGGAGGTTTCCAATGCGTCGTTGCTTCGTTTCGCGTGGCAGGCGTGGCACTTCGTGACATTCAGACGTGTTTTGTAACGTGTCGAAAGTCGTTTTGTGTGGCAGGCGCAATACTTCTGCGCCGTTTTCAGAAGATGTGTTGCATTTTTCGTGGCAGGCGCAGCACTTTGGACGTGTCCATCGTCATTTTTCGTGGCAGGCGCAACACTTTAGACGTGTCTTGTTGCGTGTTTATTGCAAATCGCATTGGCAGGGCTGCGTCAAGTGGCGACAAGGTGCAAATTTCGTGGCAGGCGTGGCATTTTGTGACATGTGCTGAAAATTGACGGAAGCTTCGCACGAAACATCGATTTTGAGGTAGCAATTTTTTTCAGGTTCTAAGGAAAACTCGTAGGAAAACGTCGATTTTGAAGCTACAAAGTGTGAAAAGTGGAGGAGGTCTCGCACGAAATGCTCGTTTTGGTGCTCCCACCTGTCTCGTCTCGAGTCTCTGGTTTTCCTGTGGCCTCGCCGTGTCTATGGGGGAAGCTGCAAAGCTTGTCCTTTTGTCATGTTGCCAACTGTGAAAATTGGAGGAGGTCTCGCACGAAATGCTCGTTTTTCTGCGCCCACGTGTCTCGCCTCGAGTCTCTGGTTTTCCTGTGGCGTCGCCGTGTCTATGGGGGAAGCTGCAAAACATCTCCTTTTCGAAGGTTTCCAAGCAGGTTGTCATGTCGTTTTGCATGGCAGGCGTGGCACTTTGTGACATTCCAACCTGTTTGATAACGTGTCGAAAATGTCAAAATTGGAGGAGGTCTCGCACGAAATGCTCGTTTTTTTGCACCCAAGTGTCTCGTCTCGAGTCTCTGGTTTTCCTGTGGCGTCGCCGTGTCTATGGGCGAAGCTCCGCACTCCACACTCTACACTTTACACTCCACAATTTAGACTTTAGACTCCACACTCTACACTTTACACTCGACACTTTACAACATTCCTCACTCCACACTCCTCACTTTACACTCCACACTCCACACTTTACACTGCACTCTACACTTTCCACTCCTCACTCCTCACTCTACACTTTACACTCCGCACTCTACACTTTACACTCCACACTCCACACTTTACACTTTACACTCCTCACTCCACACTCCACACTCGACACTCTACACTTTACACTCCACACACCACACTCTACACTTTACATTCTACACTTTACACTCTACACTCCACACCCCACTCTACAATGTACAAACTCCACACTCCTCACTCCACACTTTACACTCCACACTCCACACTCCTCACTTTACGCTACACACTCCCCACACTACACTTTCCACTTTCCACTCCACACTCCACACTCTACACTTTCCACTCCACACTCCGCACTCCACACTTTACATTCCACATTCCACACTCCACAATTTACACTTTAGACTCCTGACTCCACACTCCACACTCCACACTCTACACTCTACACTTTCCACCCCACACTCCACACTCTACACTTTACACTCCACACTCCACACTTTACACTCCACACTCTACACTTTACACTCCACACTTTACATTTTACACTCCACAGTCCACACTCCACACTCTACACACCACACTCTACGCTTTCCACTCCACACTCCACACTCCACACTCTACACACCACACTCTACGCTTTCCACTCCACACTCCACACTCTACACTTTACACTCCACACTCCACACTTTACACTCCGCACTCTACACTTTCCACTCCACACTCCGCACTCCACACTCCACACTTTACTGTACACTCCACACTCCACACTTTATACTCTACACTCCTCACGCCACACTCCGCACTTTACACTCCTCACTTTACACTCCACACTCCACACTCTACACACCACACTCTACACTTTCCACTCCAGACTCCACACTCTACACTTTACGCTCCACACTCCACACTTTACACTCCACACTTTACACTCCACACTCTACACTCCTCACTCCACACTTTACACTCCGCACTTTACACTCCTCACTCCACACTCCTTTCTTTACACCCCACACTTCACACTCCACACTTTCCACTCCACACTCCACACTTTACACTCCACACTCCTCACTCCACACTTTACACTCCACACTTTACACTCCACACTCCACACTCTACACTTTACACTCCACACTCCACACTTTACACTCCACACTCTACACACCACACTCTACACTTTCCACTCCACACTCGACACGCTACACTCTACACTCCACACTCTACACTTTACACTCTACACTTTACACTCTACACTTCACACTCTACAATTTACAACTCCACACTCCTCACTCCACACTTTACACTCCTCAGTTTAAACTCCACACTTTACACTCCACACTTTACACTCCTCACTTTACACTCCACACTTTGCACTTTACACTCCTCACTCCACACTCTACACTCTACACTCCACACTCTACACTTTACACTCCATACTCCACACTCTACACTTTACACTCCATACTCCACACTCTACACACTCTACACTCCCTACTCCACACTTTACACTCCACACTCCTTACTTCACACTCCACACTCCACACGCTACACTTTCCACTCCACACTGCAGACTGGTAACAAGGGAAACATGTACAAGACTGTTCAAATAAACTATTGCAGAGAGGTATTGTGCGTCACTGCATAACCATGTGTTTTGACATCTGTACCATTAACATACGTGTGAGCATTCGGGTTCGTGGGCTTCATCTTGTTTTATTTGTTTTTCCCATTTTCTTTTGGAAATTATTTCTTTGTTTTGTAAATTATTTTTCCCTTTAATTGTATTTTGTTTTTTATTTAATCCATTTATTTATTCTTTTAATTTCATTTAGCTTTTTTTTGGTAGCTTTTTTTTGTTTGAGAAGGGGGGGTTAGTTTACATGTTCAAAACCAAAAAATATTTGTTTCAATGTAAAGTTTGATTCCATGCGGAATCTTTATAGCTAGTAGATTCTTGCATCTGCATCAATTAACGCAAAAAAAAAAAATACATCACATCGATTTCCAGAACCTATATTCCATTATCGCATATACCCATAGATAAATACCAAAAACCACCTGAACCGCATATAGGTTGTGCAAGTTAGCAGTCTTTGGGTAGCTGTTTCCTGGTGCCGCAACCAATATCTTTGCGCCGGGGCCCCCAGCACTGCCATTCTTCGCCTCTCGTGCCTGTCCATGGGTGCAAAGAAGTGGGTTGTCCCGTTGTCCCCATGATCGTGGACTGTATCATTGACGTGTGAAACACCCCGCTTCACGTAGCTTCTATCAGTTGCTGGCCACCAATCGGACGAATTGGAAAACCCATCGGTCCCCATGTAGCAATGGTTGATCTTCTACTGATGAACTTGCCGGAAACCAAACATCCCCCAGGGCCCCGTGAACTGACCCCAAATAACAAAAGACATTGTAGACACTCTCCCAACCCTGGTTTAGGATGGTTTTGTTTCGGATTATATAGATAGATAGATTAGATTAGATAAGATTTGATTAGATTAGATTAGATTAGATTAAGATTAGATAAGATTAGATAAGATTAGATAAGATTAGATAAGATTAGATAAGATTATATAGATGATAAGATTAGATAAGATTAGATAGATAGATAGATTTGCTCAAGGTGCCATATGGGGAGGTTGTTCAGGGCAAGGGATTACACACTGGGGCACAGTCACCCAAGTAACTCATGGTCACCTGCAAGAACTTCTGCAAAGCTGAATCCAAGCCATGGCGAAAAAGCTCCGCACAAGTGGGATCCGAGAAACTTTGAAGGTTGTATATGTTGGATCTATCATTTTGATCTATCATTTTGCCTCTATTTAAATACGGTTTCCTGCTCGAATAGTCAAAATTGCCAAATCATACCAAGTCTGTGGGCTCCAGAGTCTCAAGGTTCATCCCACCCAAAGCTCCTAGAGACTGTTTTCGCGCCTGCAGCTTGGCCTGCAGCTCTTCTTGAAAGACCTCAGGGTGAGGTGGATGCAAAAAGGAGCTGGAACCCGGGGTGAGCATACAAACATCCTGAAATTTCACAAATTTGGTCGATGCTAGGGCCTGGTTCATATGATTTCCCAGGTCTTTCTTGAAACTCATAGAACTGGATGATGGGAAAATTTTACATTCAAGATCTGGAAATCGGGTTGGGGGTGCCTGTTGCTCTGCCCCGGCCTCCCTGGCTCTTTGCTCCACTTGAAGCTTTTGGACGAACTCCTTCCATCGCCATCAACTGCTTGGCTGGGACTTTGCGCCGTTACACCAAGGGGCTGATCAGTGAGGGGCCTGGATCTGCCCACTGAAACGAGCCTTTGAAAAAAGAAAAATCTTGCCATGTTAGCGTGCGTTTTGCGGCTCTGTTTTTTTTTTTGGGCTCCACCCTGGACCAGGTGGCATGCAATTTGGTTGGATGCAAGCATTGCAGGAAGCTCAGCCAGAGAAGCAAGTTGTCAGATCCCAAATCAGGGGCTTCCAGGGTCTGTTTCCCCTGCCACTGCCACCATTATTTAGCAGGAAGTAGCAGCATGTCCTCCAACCTCGTCTCCAAAGCCTCCAAGTTCCCCCATTGAGAACTTAAGTTTTGAACCCGAGAACCACAGGCCATATCGATTGAAGAGAAAAGGGAAGGGAAAAAATCGCAGAAACAAAATCATCATTTTTCCAGATACAGTATCCCGAGATTTTTCTGGGATGATGTCAATCCATGGCTCCTCTTGCCTCTTGAACAAAACTGACGGCGGCATGGCACCTCAATCCTGGGCAGTGAGGCTGCCTGAGGTCGTTGCTGCGGTGCCTGGCCATGGTCAAAGTCGATGGTCATGAAGAACTGATCATAAACATCAGATTTTCCAATGTAGTTTTTTCCTCTGGCACATCACCAAACTCCTCAAAATCAGACTGCAGACCTCCAACCATTGATTCCAGGTTCGGCTTTTGCTCACCTTTCCTGGCATGGCGAACCCCTTCCCATCTCCACAGACCTCCGTTGCCAGTGCTGCAGCAGCGGCTTCTTTTACTGCCTCAACTTGGCGCAGTGGTTGTCATGTCATGGCCAGGGCAGCTCCCCAGCACCTGCCTTTGATGGAACAGCTTGGGGAGGTAGCGACTTCCGAGCCGGCACTTCCTGGAGGTGGTTGTGGGGTCAAAGGTGGGGGGTCGAAAGTCTTAATGTGGAAACTTAACTTGGCAATGAAAAATCCCCGTGATTGTCCTGTTGAGCCATTTTTTGAATGATCAGGATTTGCCCATTGCCATGTTTTCTTGGCAACCAAAGAGGATTGTTGAGTCCTCCTTTTTTGCTCGTGCCATACCCATATGATCCATATGTGTTTTCAAAAATCAGGGTGGAACCCTTTTCTCCAAGAACGGGCTCACATCAAAATCACGTCATCATGCCGTCATGGATTCTCTCCAGGCACACTTTCGCAAGCCTGTTCGCAACACCATCAAAATTCATCTTGGCAGTTCGAGGCAAGCCAAACGGCACCTGTCCTCTGGGCGCCAGCTGGAAGCGGGTAGTGCCTGGCGTGCCTTCAAAGCCACACTCAGCTTGCTGTCCTTGCGGCAGTTTGAGCGCAGACCCAGGAGAGTGCTCGGGGGGTTGTTGCTACAGAGGCCATCAACTGGTAGGAGCTCATGGTTTTTGAGATTTGGACCAATATGGCACCAGAACCTGGAGTCCCAAGCCTGTGGTAAACTACCCCATTCCCCAGGTCGGGCACAAACTCGAACGATTTCTGCCCAAACTGTTAGGACAGTCCATTCACCGAAGAAATTGGTGTCTGCCGAGGGGCTAAGTCAGCTGCCAGCGCCTGCGCCTTCTGTTGAAGCCGCGCTTTGCTGCGTGGGCTTTGAGAAGGACTGGCGCCGGCGGAGCGAGAGACGCCACCTGCAGGCTGTCGCAGCTCAACCCGGGAACACCCGAACAGTCTTGCAGAAACCAGGCCCTTATACTATGCCTTACCGCCCATACCAACAACGACCAAATATCACTATAAGCTGAGACTATGCAATGATGGCTTCACTCGGACGAAAACTCACTTCCAACTTCCAACAATTCCAACATCCTTTTAAACACAAGCAGCCCATCAAAAAACTTCTGTTGTCGCGGTCCACTCAACCACGTCCATAGACCCGGCCGCCACACCTGCCATGATTGGAGCCTGGAACAGGTAAGAGATCCGGCAGGATGATAGCATCATTGGTGCTGACTGGTCATCTATGTTAGTTAAAGCCCCAGCTTTGCCGCGTGGCATCTATTGACACTCCATACTGCGGCACCCACCTCCACCATTGGAAGGCTCCAGACAACTTCTGGAAGTCTCAGGTCTCAGGTGCTCGTTCGGTCGGTAAAAACTGTTGCCACTAACCTGCTGCTGCGCAATAGATGCTTTGAGCTGCTGTTCATCAATGGTAGATCCACGCCCTGTCTAGTTCAATCATGTTAAATCTAGTTCACTAACCACTCCAACCTCTAGCACACCATACCAGAGTCTACCCGGAGATAATTATGCACTAAAGCCAACTTCGCCCGATCTTGATTGAACCACTGGCTGAACGAGCACCTTTGGATGCCGTTGTTCCGGGCCGAAAGTTGCAGTGCCATCAAAGACATCAAAGACGTGTTGCGTGAGACTTTGCATTAGTACCAGATCATAGCAGTCAAATGCAGTCAACTGAACAGGTGAAAGACTACACGCTACACCATGTGGCTGCAGTTGCCGTTAATTGCCTGGCGAGCCATCCACCAACAACCCAACTGCTGATCCTCCCGGCTCCTCCACCTCCTGCGCCTCTCGAAGGCGAAAGACCTCAAGGGTCAACTCCAACAAGTGCCTCGGCACCAGGGCCGCAGGGCCACAGGGCTCAAGCTGCCACAGCAAAGGCCCAAGGATCCCGGCGCTGTCAACAGGAAGTGGCTCTCCATCACGTCACCCTCAAAGTGCTGCACCGCAAACCTGCCAGCATAAAAACTTTGGAATCCACAGGGCATCTAGACCAATCCGTGTAACAAACCTAGTCTTTGCTCCTAATCGCTACATGCAATTCCTTACAAGAACTCATGAGGAAATGAAAGCCACCTGCAATTCCAGCAAACATGCGATATCAGGAGCGGCCAGTGCCTGTGCCAGTAGCTTCCAATCTCTGCAGCAAAGCTCTCCAACCGGTCGCAGCCCGCACCGCAGCGCAGGAAAGTGATCCAGCACCTTTCTTGCATTGTGGGCTGCTGAAATTTTCAAGGGACAACCAGAAACACTTGATTTCTGCTAACTCAGATGAACTACGAAATCATGAATTTGGATTTTTTGACAATGTTTGAAGGGGCATCTAAATTTTGGAGATTGTTTAGAGCGACGCAGCTACCAGTACAGCACATGTGTGTTTTTCATAATTTTCCACATTAAACTGACCATTTGTTGGGGTAAATCCCCCAAATATATCCAAATGTCATAATTAAGTTGGTTGGTTCATCTATCCCCATATTTCTATATATACATATATGTATCTATTTATTTATTTATATCCTATGATATTCGTGTTATACCCTCGTGAAAATTCCCATAAGAATAACCGCAATATGCGGTACGCATCTTCAGGCACTGGCAGCGCACCTCAGTGCCTCCACTGCACACAGGGCTTCGAAGTTGCTGGAGCCTGGTGCAGATGGGATACTGAGGATACTGCACCTGGAATGACTGGCATGCTGGTTGCAAACTTATTGCTGTCATCGAGCAGTTGAATTTGAGATGAAATCCAAATAACCTTCCGACTCCAGAATGCACAAACTGTGTAGCTTCAACTCTTTGCGAGGATGGAATCCTGCTTGCCTTCCTGCCGGCACCCTGCAAGTGACTGGATTTCGCGGGAATTGGACATAAAAAAACATTGCCAGACTTCCTGACTAGAGGATAAAGCCCCGTTGGATAAGGTGGATAAACTCTGTCATTTCTGCTTGAACCCCCTGTGCCTTTCCCCTTCAACGGGCTCAACACACTGCGGCGGAGTAGAGTCAGAAGTTTGGTTCCCTCCTGCGGGTTCAGTGACTTACTGCCCGATAATATCATGAGAATCATGAGACAAGGTGCTGCATATGTTTTAGCTGGTGTGAATGCTTCAGGTCTAGTGAATTTACAGTAAGGAATGTGTCAGCTCATGGTTTTGAATCTATAGAATTATATATATATAGAACCGGAACCAAAAAAAAAAGCGGAAAACGTTCAATTTCTCGCTACGATGTAGAATTCGATTTCAATAGAATCTATCTGTCAGGGGGTTATGGGGGGTTGCTACAAAACATGTCCCATTTACAAGATTGATTTTAGGTGATTTGGGGTAGAAACACTACATGTCGAATGGCTTCCAGCTCCTCTTTGAGCCACCATGCGACAGCACCTCGCCCCACCACTTCACAGCCTCAGGGGATTGACATCACGCAGCTGGCGCCCATCGCAAATGCAATGCTTAACCCATCCGAGCAATGTATGACTTTTTGGATAAATAATTAATTAGCACATTGGGACCATTGTCCCAACCGAGGTTGAAAACAAAAAAATGTTGACAATGACTCGGTGTGACTCGGCTCCAACATTCCGCATGATTTTGCTTGGCACAATCGACATCTTGCCTGTGCCATCAGGCCCGAGGTGCGGACTCATGCGAATGAAGCGAAGAACCTTTTGCAGTGGAGCAAAGGAATGATTCGGGGGGAACATCCCAACATATCCCAACTAGTAACCCTTGGCCATCAACTCATTTAAGGGGAATTATCTCAGTTGCTGATCTGCGGGCATGTTTTCCCCCAAGGTTAGGAAATAGTAAAGAGCCGCTCCTAAATGGGTTAATCATCTTCAAGTACCCTCCAAATCAGCTCATTCCCCCAGGTTTGCCAGGGCCGCCGCACCTCAACTTGTGTCTCAGCGCTTTCAGCGCTTTCAGCGCTGGCGATCCAAATTGCACGATGGTCTTCACGCAAGAGCCTGGCCAAAACTGCTTAAGTTGGGGCCGCCAGCCACCATCGAGATCATCGAGGTCACATGCCATTTGTAGCTGCTTAGTATGTACCATCTGGTTATTTAACATAGCCATGGAAAATGACCCATTTATAGATGGTTTTCCAATTAAAAATGGTGATTTTCCATAGTTATGTTAGTTTACCAGAGGGTAATCCCTTCGTTTAGCCAGCCATGACCTGGGACTCCCTCCTGCCTGGCACAAAGCTCTGGCCGGAGCACGGCGGCCGTGCCCAAGGCACGAGCCAACAGGGCTAGCTGTTTCTCATCAGCAGTGGGTGGAAGAAACCTGGCTGCAAAGGAGACAAAATTCAGGGGACCTGTAGGCTGTAGGGGCCAATATCAAGAAATGCATCTTGCATATAGTGTTTATGTTTGTTTTCAAGTTCACACTAAAGCTCAACTAGAAACTTCTGGGACACTCCCCGCGCCTTCCAAGCGATGGCATCTCCCCAAGAGGCAAGAGGGGTTCCAACACCTCACAGCCAAGGAATGCCAAGGAACAAGCAAAAGTCAAAAGTCACAGCCACCGCCGATCCCAACCCCCAAAAAGCAAAACCCAAAATGAGCGAAAGATCGAAACACATCCAAAGCCGAAAAACTGGTGCCATCTTTCCCATCCCTTCCAAAAGACAACTTCTACCCAGGGCCCCCCCAAGTGGCCCAGCCACGCCTGCGTTGCGGCCACCTCGGGTTCATCTTTGGCCCCCAGCAGCTGCCGTTTCAGCAGGGGCGGCCAGGCACTTTGGCCGCCTCCCTGACCCCCGAAGCCCTCGGCAGCCAAAACCTGGGAGGCGGGCGTCGTTTTCAAGTGATTTTTCGCGGGAAAACCATTGGAAAAGCATAGGAGAACATAGAACAACATGGAAAATCAAAGAGAAAAGTATACCATCTATTTGATAATAAATATACCAATTGAGATCAAAATTCTTGCAAAACATGAGATTGCAAGGGATGAACAACTGCGGCTCACATGGTATGGTGAGAGCCCAAATCCCGGAAGAGATGTAGCTTGAAGACAACAGAAACAGTAATACCTGTCCACCTCAATCGGGTTTTCTCCCCTAGTCTCGAAATCTGGGAGGATGTACAGGCATTTTTATCCATCACATACAGGCGCTTCTTGAAAGCCCCAAATGATATCGTTGGGTCAATTTACTTTGGGATATTTGGGGTACCAATAGGCCCACAATATTTTTTCCCCAGCTTTAAACCATCATCGCACCATCCATTCTTGGAGGTTTGATCATTTTGACTTTTTTTGCCCAAATTAACACGCCAACAAGCCTAAATCACGAATCCCCAAAATTGAACAGTATTTTTTCCAGTACACATAGTATACTCCAATTCTTTATGGCCTTTATATCCTTTATTTCAGAATACTTGTTACCCTCCAGTAAATTCACATAGACCCTGGTAGTCATCGGGGTTGGAAGATGAGTTTCCTCTAAAAAGTTGTGATTTTCAGGGTCTATATATGTTAATTTACCAGAGGGTACATCCAAAAACATCCAAAAACTACTGGGAACTGAGGCATCAGTGACCCTCCAAACATCGTTTCTTCACAATTTCTCTCACCCAAAACCAAAACCACAACCGGCACCCCCCGGGTGTTTCGTGCCCAGGTGCCGCTACGGTGCCCCGCGCCATCACTTCGGCACAGCCGGGCGGGGCGCTGGGCCACACCAGGCTGCGTGCGGCGTCCCAGGGCCGGGCTAGGGCGGCCTGTCCGTCCGTGGAGGATCCGATTTTAAAATATGGTACCCTCTGGTAAACTAACATAGCTATGGAAAGATCCACCATTTTTAATGGGAAATAACATACCAGTGATGATATAATAACAAAAAACTATGGAAAGATCCACCATTTTTCATGGGAAAATCCACTATTTCTATGGTCATTTTCAATAGCTATGTAACAAATTACCAGAGGGTACTAAAATTGGAATGGCAGTAAATATGGGATACCAATTCGTAAAAAAACCTCATCCAATTCCTCAATTTTGAGGTTGTACCCAGTACACCACTTTTGGTTTTATGGTGGTACCCGTTTATATAATAATGAAATGATACCCCATTTGCTCCATTTAGATTTATTGGGGAATATCTAAAAATAGCAAAAACCATACCTGAAAATGGAATATGTTTTCGGATTCATGTGCATCTTATGGAAAGTCCAGGGCTTATAAGGTTAGAAAGTAATAAGTTCCGTAAGAAGGACTCGGCAGTGTCTGGGCGTTCAAAGATCCGGAAGCTTCAAACCCAAGACAAAAGCAAGGAGCCGGCCCAGTGCCTTCCATCCAAGTTTTCTGGAAAGTCCCTTTGAGTGACACAAGTTGCCCCAGGCCCAGCCTCAACGGTAGAATGGCACAGGTCCTTTGCCACAGATCTGGAAGTGCGTAGCACATCTCCAGTGACCTGGACAGGCTGATCTCATGCACTGGCCGGACGTGAGAATTTGTCAAAATGGAGGCCCAAAAAATGGGTGGATAAAATAAAGAAAGCATGCATTGCCACCAGCCAAAGATTCAAACTTGAACGTGGAAAGAAAATCATTCCAAAGATTTTGCCAACTACTTGGATGCTTAAATCATAAATCCCTGAAATATGCAACCGCTGTGGGTTGAATCGATAGTAATCGGTTGGATCAAGCCTCAGGCCCGGGCCTCCCCCTCCGCCACACCATCCAGCAGCTCGACCGTGGCCCGCAAAGCGGCCAGTTGCACCTGGGAGCGACTTTGGTGCCGGTGGAAGTCATACATCAAAAATGATCCATAAATGATCCACTGATGATCCATAAATGATCCACTGATGATCCATAGTTTATCATATTTTGGGGTCTTGCCCTATGTCTTGCAGCTTCCATCCTGGGTCGCCCTGGCAGGTTGCGCCGGATCTGCCAAGGCTTCAGCCAGATGTTTGGGCACATCGCTGCGCGCCAGGACGTGCCAAAAGAAGACCTCAAAGGCAGGGGGAATTACCTTCGGGGAATTTAACATAACTATGTAACTATGGAATAATCACCAGTTCTTATAATTACATCACGGTAAAGCATTGATGAATGGGCAATTGTCCATAGCTATGGTCGATTGCCAGAGGGTAGTAGTTCCCAACTGTTTTAGGGCTTCAACCTGTCGAAGTATGTCTGTATTGTATTGACATGAATGCTTTCAAGGATGCCTGATGTTTGGACACGCTAGTTTCATCATGTTGCATCTACGGTTGGACGTTGTCTCAAGTGAGGCAGCAATATCATAAGAACAAAAACTATGTACTGCTCCTCTCTCGACCAATCTCACTTTACTACGACTGGCCACTAGCGAAAGCGCAGCTATGAAGCATGTTTCGCAAGTGCTTAAGCTGCTTTCCCATCGGGTTTCTCCCATTCACCCAGGAGTTTGCAACATTTTGCAACCAGATCCTTTTCAACGACCCGGCCTGCAAGCCAAGCCCGAAGCCCGCACGGAAAGGTGCGGGCTTAGGCGGCACCTACGGAGCCATGGGAGAGCATCACAAAAAAAACGGTGGGCAAAAAACCGACCATTGGTCTGTTGGATTTCCCCAACCATCCCCAACCAATATTTGACCATCCAACAAAAGCCGACAGTGAATTTGGAAATTTTGGAAGACGATTCAGTAAATCCAGAGCTAGATTTTTCGGGCCTGGACCTTTGGTTCCTTTGGGACCGGACCTGGCGCAATCCTCAGTCTAGGCACCTCGTCGTAAAGTCCAGTTCGTCGGATAGCTAGGTCTGCGGATAGAACATCCTGGCACGCGCCTTCGGTTTTGAAATCAAGACACCGTTGCAGTTGCCGAAAATGGCCAGAAATCCACTTGCACAATCTCCCGGAGGTGCCCCTTTTGTGGGCGTCATGTTGCAACTGCTTCCACTGGGTCACATGGATCCCCCACCTGCGGCGCGGGTATCCGCGCACGCTTCAGCACCTCCCCGAGCACATGGATGGCCGCTGCACGCTGCGGTGTGCTGGCGGAGCGGGAGAGCAGCAGCAGCTCGGCCAACGTGTAACCGGCCTCTGCAGTGCGGCTTCGCGGCGCCAAGTTGAAGGATCATTCTGACGGTGATTTTATGAAAAACTCGGGTGGGTTATGTATCATCCATGTTGGGTTTCTCAGTCCCAATCAGCACACCTGTGAGCTCTCTGCTCCATGGTGATGAAGGCCGTCACTGGAGTCCTCCGAAGGCTTCGCACCTGGCACCGATTTTTCTGGTGCGCCTGGTGGTTCCAACCCTGAAAAAATATCGCCCAAACAAGTGGAAAAAGAAAGCATGTCAGAAACCACCGTTCCCAAATAATTAAGGACACGGCATCAGGTGATCTGCAGTTGATTCAAAATCCGGTTGGGGTGTCAACATAATTACATACAATGAGCCTGCTTCAGTCAATGATAGAAACCCACGTTCCCAAAAATTGTGGAAGACTTCCACCGACACCTCCTCCATGCAACACGGCCTTTTGCTCCCAAGCTGGCCGCTCTGCAGCATCTCTTTGCTGCGAGTGAATGAACCCTCAAGCTTGGCAAACTGGATGTTGCATATGGGTCTGAATCAAAATTGAATGTGACAAAAAAATGACATGGTTAACACTGAAAATGACCCGTCGAACCAATCAGTCATAGTCAGTGCAACTGTGGTACCATTCAGGCCCTAAAGTTTGGACACACACCCATAAATTTTGAGGCAGCAACAACACAACCCAGTTGATTTCGGAAGTGTCAAGGCCTCAGAAAATCATCGACATTGGCCGCCTTTCGAGGCACACAGCCACAGGATCAAGGCCAGCCATTTCACCCGTCACCGTTCACCGGCGCACCCGCTTGCTCGCTCCAACGGTACTGGACAGGAGCACTATTCCACCTTGGCTCTGCGTTCCTCACCGGCCAGGAGAAACCTTTCAGAGGACATGACATTCAAATCATATTTCGTAGGGCAACCCAGAAATGGCGACACTCCTGTTTTATTGACCAACCTCATTTCTCTCTCTCTCTCTCTCTCTATTGCCATCTCAAGCCAACATCGTTTGGTCTGGATGATTTGCTATATATGCGTGTGCAACGGTCAGGGCTTAAAGCAGTGTTCGAGGGTCTCCCTTACGATAGCTAAACCTATAGTCATCCCAAAGACAGAAGAATAAATCCTCCCTAGACCCTAGTTTGATCCTGAGCGAGTTTTTCCATCTTTTGTGGGGATGACTATAAGTACCAATATTATCCTATCCATTATCCATCAATATCCCCATCAATCATCTCATCCCTCATATCCCCATGAATCATCCCCATATCAACCCCCCACGCCACGGTGACCAGACACCCTCTCCAACTTCTGGTGGAAGTCCAACGCTAAGCGTGTCATGGGGCCGGGCGGCGGCAGGCGCTCCGGCAGACCCGAGAGCTTCACCTGGGTGATTGGAGCTGCGGATGCACATCATCGTGCCAGTCATCTAAACAAGCTATGACTATAATATCTACGTATGTGTATATAGAGAGAGAGAGAGATATATATATATATAGATATAGATTTGTCTGTGTATATGTATACAGAGAGAGAGATATATATATAATTTATATATAGAGATATAGATAATAGATACATATACACACATGTGTGCGTGTATTGGTTGAGTTTGAGATGTTGTTTAGTTAATGGTTGTGATTGATTGTTTGTAGATACCTCACGGCAAACTTGACATGTAGATATGATCAGGGAAACACGCAATTCATATAGATCATGTCCTTAGGAAACGATGGGTTGTCCACAGGATGGGTTTCCCCAGGGAAATGGTTGTTTCATGAGAGGTTTGACCGACCCAATTGTGTGATAACCAGGAAAGATTGGGGACGGTGGGTTAGTAATTCTGGTGCACCTTTCGACGTATTTTAAAGGCGGCAACCAACAGAAGCGCAGATTTGTCGGTTTAACTGTAACCTGTTCCGAATAGAGCGTGGGCCAAGACACCGCACGAAACAATGTTCCTCTTCTGGGGTGTTCACCACAATGCTTTTGGTGCTACAGTAGATACCTCATCAAATATCATCAAATAACTACTGGCGCAAGGCTCAGCTCTTGCGCCACCCCTTAGCCTTATTATATTTATTACATCCAAAGCTATAAAAACATCACCACATGTCCCAAAAAATCATGGTTCATACTGTTTTCGTATGTTTCCCCATCTGCCTTAAGTGGTTTTTTGATGGCGGTTACCTATAGCTTTTCCCATTGAAACGGCGCCATATGGCAGCCCAGCGGCCCGGTCCAACGAACGGAACCTGGACAGCGCCACATAGAGCTGCGCCGGATCGAAGACTTTGGAGAGATCCAATTCCCCGGAGTCCAACGTCAAGCCTCGTTAAAGAATGGCTGGGCCAACGATCTGCCGATGACTTCATCCATATTTACCATGGATTTACCTATGGTTAACCGGTTAACCATGATTTACCAATAATAAACCATTGATTTACCATGATTTACCTATGATTTACCTGTGATTTACCTATGATTTACCTATGATTTACCTATGATATTCATCCAGCGTGTGTTTACCATGTTCCGAAGTGGGTTGCCTCTGGAGCAGTGTGACGCTCTGCGGAACTGTTCCGTCCCGTGTTTTGCCAATTTAGCCCCCAAAACTGCACAAAAGCTCTCTGCTTTGGGATGGAAATATGATTTTGGGAATTCACGTTCTTGAACCGCCAAACTATCACAGCCCTGCCTTGCGTCTTGTGGATCGTCATAGCCCAGGCCACTTTGAGCGGCACCTGACTTCTCGAATACCTCATGGCAGATATCCCAAATGGCAAAAGTTCTTGCAATACTCCTCGCCCTCCCCAAACACCAGCACACAAGCCATGCCCCCAAAGCCCTCAGTTGTCGAATTTCCGAGGAAAGTTACCTCCCAGCAATCAAACATAGCAAGGAAAAAGCACCCATTTCTAGATGGAAGGCTCCGCAGCGGGCTGCGGAAGAGAAGCTTTCCAAAGTGACCAGCTTCTCCGTCAAAGGTGTGGGGTACGATCCGCCTCCTGTATCCTCCCGGCAGGGCCCAGGCCAGGCATGGATTGAGGAGCTGAACATGATTGAACCCACATCACATAGTGAGCTGTGTCTACACCCAAACCCAGTCCGTTTCGCCCGAGAACACATTCCGTTCTGTCTGGCATGAATCTGACAAAGCATGTAGCTGGAAACGTCCAGACTTGTTCCAGTCCTCTTGCAAATTGGACCAGTGGAAAGCCATCTTCGAAGTCAACCACTTGCCCCACACTTCCTCAGGCTGTCGGTGGGGCACATAGGGAAGCCAAAAAATCCAATTTAGTGGAAGAAAGCCTTACAACATATCAACGCATAAGGAATACAAAGACATACAAAAACAAACTTCTTACAATACCGGTATGCGAAATACCCTCCAGCAATCCAACATGGCACTGGACAATCTCAAAATCAATGGTGGGTTCTCCAGCTAGCCATGTGTGATGACCAAACTCGGTATCTCAAGGCAAACATCGTCATTAAAGACCCCTCCAGGAATCCATTCACCAGTGGAATCTGAAGACCTTCATAGCCCTCTGGCGCCAGGTCCTCCACTGCAGATAGCACCCTCTGCTGTCGCGGGGTCGTGTCCTGGCGGGGCTACCGTTTTATTATATGCGATTTGCCTTGAGGGAAATTGCACAGAATACCAGAGCTGCTCGACACCCACAAAAAAAGCGGTTCCGTGCAGATTTTCTCTTAGAAGAATTATTAGGGGAAACAGCATTTAGGACTTAGTAGCCGCAGCTGCCGCAGCTATATTCGGGTGAACTTAAAAAAATGCCGCAAAGGTGCTCAAGAACTCCAACCTGGCAATGTTGTCTGATCCTTTGAATCGGCTTTCCCAAAAAAAAAGGTGCTACTATCTGACCCCTTCAAAGACCAGCTTTCAATCCCAAGGGTCCCGAGCAGCAGGGCTCAAAGTTTTGCATCGATCAGGCTGCCGCAGGTTCACCAACAGCATCACCACGCAGCCCACTTTCAAGCGCAACTCCTGCTTCATTGCGGTGTTGGTCAAGCCTGACCATAAAAGAAAGCAAAAATGGATACTTAAGGCAGCAAATGACTATGACTATAATATATAGATCCCATGAAGTCCCAATTTTTGCTGGTTAAATCGCCTACAAATGTTTCTGGGTCCCTAATTTGACGGTCCTGACAAAGAAGAAATCAGCTCCTCAACCGGCTTTTCGCCCAAGACCCACAAAACATCCCATGTGGTTTCCAAAAAGTGGGAGTCCAGTTTGTAGTATCAAAATGTATCAAATGTCGTTGGTTCTAACTGCACACAGAGACGTTCGTTGATGATTTGTTTGTCGTCGGCTCTACATCAAGCAGCGAAAATCCATCTCTCCTTTGGGACAATCAGATTGTCCATGGCTGCTTTGACGGCAGGCGCGTGTTTCTCCATTTCGTCCTGACTACCCGCGAAGGTATAGAGCATGGGATGGTACCAGCCCCCAAAAAGGCACGACGTCAACATTCATCTTATCAGAAACAGGGCCAACATTCGCATCCCAACGATTGGAATACAAGAATTGATGACCTTTGCCAAATGGGAAGGGCAATAATTTTCCTGGTCAACACTAACACTCACCACCTTGCAATCTAATATTGTACACCCCCCACTACTTAGCAAAAAGATGCAAAAAAGTGGGCGGTATTCAGGCCATCTCCGATTGGATCCGGCCTTGGCCTCAGAACATTGTTATCCATTCCGACCCCGGGGCCCCGTGTCCTGTGCGTGGAAAACATACTCCTCGCCAGGTAAGCTTTCGAGGCGTTCGCAGTTCACCGCCTCCACTTCTCTGTTGGTGCTCACGATCTTGGGATATGACGTGCCCTCCAACGGCTCCTGCCGCAAGGAAGGTGCGAAGATGATTCAACGGCAAAAATATTCGCTCCAAGAACATTGGATTGTTTTTCAAGCTTTCATGACACCTTTACCCAAAAGAAAATCGAATGGTTTCGACTCCTTTAGCCACTGCTTTGGCGGGACCATTGGTGATTGATACCCCTATTCAGAACACTGTCTGAGCCTGGGAGATGGACCGGAAGCTCTCCAGGGACAACCTCCCCAAACGCAGTTCCCGCAGTAAGTCCTACGAAGCTTTGCAGTGGTCGAATGTGGTCGAACCATTCGGAAATGATAAAAATGCGAAAGGAAAGGAGGCAGAGCCCAGGTCACATCGCAGGAGTCAGAGATTGGATGAAATGCTCACGATCCTGAAGGTCAAACATGCAAAGAAAAGCATCTGGTAGAGACTTTTTTCCCCAAACACCAGTGATGTCCGATCCGGATCGATCCGGCACGTCCTTGAACTCGGCATCCTCTGCTTGTCTGAAATTGCTGCATAAGCTGAAATGATGAAACTTCAACCTGCAGGAGTGGCCAAACATTTTTTTAGACGGTGCGGACTATAGGTACCGGCCGGTCAAAATCAGGAACACATATAACACATTAAACTGAACAGGGATGAGCAAAATACTGGACATTGGAAACCCATCTCAGTAATGGAATCGGTTCGGCACGTTGATAGCCCAGAAACTGCTGCCAAACCTCTGCCTGAAAGGCGAGGTTTGTGGCTTGTACCGGCGGCAGCTGCATGAAATCCCCGCAGAGCACCACCTGCAGCCCACCAAAGGCGCCCTGGCCACCGGGTGTGCGGATGAAGGATAGCAGGTCCGACGCTTGGTCTAAGAAGTCGCCCGAAAGCATGCTCACCTGAAGGGTTTAGGGTGGCAGTTGGTTTGGGAACCATGGCATTTACAAAGCTATAGCCTAGCTGAGATGTAACCCGATCATTGAGGGGACTTGCCGCCTGGCAAACCGGCACACCTTGATTTTGTTTGATCACTTGTGGCATTGAAAAAAACCCAGCTCTTCAAACCTGGTGGAAGGGTGACGATGGCTCGCCTCGTCCAGAATCAGAATCTCTGTCTGTCGCAAACGTTTGCGGACCTGAACCAAGGCAAAGGATTTGTGGATCAACCAAGCACATGGAGTACTGAGCACTGGCCACAGCAGCTGGCCCTGGAAACCTGAAAATCAGACCCTTCCAGCCAAGAGTGCCTTGTTCCCAGTTTATCCCCATCAATTTTTCTGGATCCTTCTAAGAGTTCTCCGTGTTGGTTTAACCACCACTGCCCGGAGCCGCCTCTCTCTTGGATTTCTGAAATTTCACCTTCTCCCAGTCTTTCAAGCCACCGAGGCCACAGCCCAGGAAGCTGTGAAAGGTACAACCGTTCACATGGACTGCCGCTACGCCAGTGGAGGCACACACGGCGACAGCCTCAGGGTGCCCAGGGTGAACTCCAGTGACATTCCGGTCGTGTTGAAGGTATGGAAAAGATGGAAACAAGCTTAATTGTGAGTCCAACAGTTGGGTTTCTGGGTTTGTATTTGGGGCAGGTGGGGCTGCATAATCGCAAATCATAGCGTATATATATATATATAGATGGATAGATAGATAGATAGATAGATAGATAACATGGAGCTTCGAAGCTGGATGGATGGATGGATGTATGCGTGTATGTGTAGTATCACATACCCCATAGATCCCATAGCTCAGATGTCGAATTTGCCCCACTGCCACGGCCTTGCTGCTGCGATGCGTCTTCAGCAACTGAATGATGCGCTGCAGAACAAAGCTCTTTCCAGAGCCAGGGGGGCCTGGGGAGCAGAGCCATTAATTCAGTGTCACATGAGCTGCTGGGGAACGCTTAAAAATGTATCTCTTGGATTCTCTTGGGGTCACCTCTCTTCTCAATCACTCAATCTTCCTCCATCAAACAAAAGGGAACTTGCACCCACTGTTGACCAACAATTTTGCCAGCCATTGCCCGCCTGTAAGGAAGACATTGTGGCCCTTCAGCACTGTATGCACCACGGCCTGCTGCTCACCGTTCAGGTCGTCCAGCGACAGTTCAGCTGCGGGAACTTGGGGGCGCCGCGGTGCTGCACAAGCGGCCACGGCTGCAGCCAGGAAGCCTTTGGCGGCCTGCCCGTGGAGTGCCCGGGTGGCTGGGAGGAGGCAACAAAAGAAAAGAAATGAAAGTAGGATGGCTCCAACGCTTTCAAAGGGAATATGAAGGGATACCAATTTGGGGAACATAGGGTCAGCCATGTCCAGCCTCTTCGCATTCGAAGCTTTTGAACTTTGCACCTGTGCCGGCAGCTTGGAACTGCTTGGAACACGAACAGTTTGAAGATCGCTTCTGATGTCAGCACGCAAATCTCAAAGTCCTGGTGCTTCTTGCAACATGAGAAGGCTTTGCAACCCGCTTCATCTGCCAAAGAAAAATTCCCGCGCCTGGGAAACCATTAGTCTGTTTCCGACACCTGAGTGCGGGCATACAACGTCATCAGCAAAGCATTGCCTTCAAGTCTCATTTGTGCAATGATCGGTTCCTCCCCTCCTGGCTTTTCACCCCCCAAGCTCCTTTTGCCATCCCCCAGCCATACTTTTTTGGCCACAACAAAATGCGCAGCAGAGGCACTCATCCCATGTCTTATACAGCCCTGGTCGACGTCCAACTTGGACTGCGTAGACCTTTGGACGCTTCGCCATCAAACGAGGCAACAGGTGCCGCCGCTGCGACCAGGGCAGGCGGCCCCAAGCAGGGGTCACTGGAAGCGAGGGAAAGCTGGTAGCACCTGAGTGGCTGGGAGAGATTCATGGTAGTTTTATCGGAATGTGGGGATCTGATACAGTACAGACAGACCCATCATAAGTTCGCAAAAAACAAAACCAGAGATCGAAGCTGAGCCGATGTAAACGGTCAAAGGCACCCAGCAAAATCATCTGAACACGCTTGACCAGATCAGCCAATCACTATCAGGCTGTGCCGAGAGGAGGCATGTTTCACGAAAATCTGGCATGTCAAATGAGGCCTGTCAATCTGTGACATGGTGAGGTCATACAAGTATACCAGAGCCGCTGCTGGCGGCTGATCTTCGGAGCTGCCCTGGTCAATTCCCCCATGTCAATCGACTTGGAGCCAGAACGGCTGGCATCAAAGTGAAACTTCACAACCAGCCAGTTCACGACGATGAAAAAATGAAGAAAAGGATGTCAGTACATGTCAGTACTATATACATCTGGCCTTGAACCCCTGAAGGAATGGGAGTGCAGGGGTCGCTATGGCGAAGTTATTGGAGCATCATGCGATTCGCAACTTGGCACAGTCGAAGCACTTTACATACGGCACTCAGCCATCTAGTAATCTAGTACCCCGACTGCTCTCCCCCTCACGATCATGGTCAGTGCTCTCCAGCATCCATCTCACCCATGTGCCTCGCAGGCAGACACGACCATCAAAATCGAAACGCATGAGCTGCAGGGCCCGACCACATGGTTCAGGTGGCAGACTGGCATCTGCCACTACCTGGACCGCAAGCCATTGGGAACCGAAGTCCGGGAAGAATTGTGGGAATTTCATGGAATTTCCAGCTCCCCAACCATGAACTTCCCAGGAAATTGGACGACACTTTGGGTTGATTGGGAGGATTGGAAGGTCTGAAAAATATCGACGAATACGAAGCCGGTAACCCCCATGACACCTCCACGGATTATTGACCTGCCCTTTCAATGCCCTGGACATCCGTGGACCCAACAGGCCGCAAGCTTTGCCTTGTCAAAGTCAGGCTCGCCAGCTGGCGTCATCCACCTGAGAGTGCTTCAACCATCGGGCTATCTTCATTTCTGCTATGGAACCATGGACTTGGGCGATTTTGGGCGGGAATCCAGAGCAAGTTCAAAAGCGAGAAACTATATTTGTGACCTGGGCGACCCTTGCTGAAGCTTCTGCAACTCAGAGCGGTCTAGAACGCCAAGGCCCTGCAGCAAACAAGAAATCCGGCACGAGTTCTGTGTGCCCAAAGCACCGCCAATTCCCTCCATTCCCAGAATAATTGACATCAAACAACCGTGGTTGGTTGCTGTTGGGATGAAACGTGTTGCATCAGAGCATCACTGCATAGATCCTGGACGAGGCCTCACCATCCATCTCCAGAGAGACTGTGGCGGGTGCTGCCCGGCAGTCCTTGCCCGAAAATGCTGCCGCCATGACTGGTTGGTATTTACTCCCGAAAAATAGTGGCAAGCTGAGGTCATCATCCCAAATTGGGTTTTTTGCGACCAAAATACAGAATGTGAAACATGTGAAACCAGCAACCATTCATGAATGGTGGAAACCCTGCTGCTGCACAGCCCCATTAGTAAAGGACCGCCATCCTGTCCTCGTGAAGTTCTTTCTCTGCCAACACCTTCTTGGGCTCAGGCGGCTCAGGAGCCACCTGGGGCGGAAAACACCCACAAAAAAGCACACTGAAGCTTGCCGCTCGGGTCATGGAACTTCAACAAAATGGATCAAATGAAACCGGTGCACCTGGTGACATGAAAATATCGGTGCCAACCCGTGCTAACAATTGATGGCACCTGGTGACATCTTTAAAATGACGGTTGAACTGCCAGAAAGTTCTGGTGTCTCGCTTTGAATCCAAAAAGGGGTGACCTCACCAACCAGAACTTCTTCCACGCTTATCTCAAGCAATACGATTGATGTAGACTTCATACAACATCATGATATTATATCAAGAATACTCATTATATAAATGAAATGTTGATACATCTTGCACCAATATCTTTATGCATACTTCTATGTTCACATTCATATTTATATCTTAATATATATATATGTATATTAATTATATCTTTGCACATACACGTGAACATGTATATATATATATATTCTATGAGCCATTACTTTATGTTCATCCCCATCCCCCCTTGGACCTCCTTGGCCACCTTGACCTTACGTTTCTCTTGGCCCATCTTCCGCACGCCACGCTGCCGCAGCCGCTCGCAGGTCTCGGCACCCAGCTGCTGCAGCAGCTGCTGCTGCCACTCCTTCACCTGCTGTGGAGCTAAGGGTGGCCCTGAAAATTGGATGATTTCCTGAATGGAAAATTCAGGAAAATTACTGAAAATGAGGTTGAAAAGAAATGTTGACTGAAGATCGGAGTAGTTCTTATGGCATGGCTTACTGAAAATTGCACCAGTTAAACGAAAAATTGCATAGGGGCAAACCCCGTGGTAATGTGTCCAATTCCGGGACAAGGGGTCCCTTGACAACTGAAAACTTGGAAACAACTTGGACATATGGACATGTAAGTCCCCAAGAAAAACGACATGCTCAAAAACTCCTGGGATTTCTTCATCTGTCTTGTTCTGCCAAAAACTGCCCGGGTCTGTGACGGTCTGTCCATTCCACATGGCATTCTCCCAAGCCTCTTCAGGCGATGCGTTCATCAGCGTCTTTCGATTTTCCATGTCGATGGCTTCATCCTGGCCATTGGAAATCCAGGGAGTTTGTTGCTTCGGAGGCCTGGGAGCCCTGGGAGCCCGGAGACGCCAACCAGATCAGCCAACTCAACACCAATCCGATTGATCCGAAGCAATGGGGAAAATGGGGGTTGGTTGAGGATCTTTGCCCAAAATCTCTCCCTTTCCAGGTGAAACTGCCATTTTTCTGGGCCCAAAAGGAAAAGATCCCTGAAGAGGCCCTGCAGTTCGCCTCGTCCTTGGGTTCTCGATCCAAATCTGCCGTTGGTTTTTTCAGAGTGGCGCCCAAGGACTTGCCAACCTCCAGGTCGGGGATGGTTTATACCATCCATCTTCGATGAGAAATTCGGGATAACATGGATAACTATAGCAATTTCCAAAAAGATACGCAGGTAAAATCCAACTAAAATATTGATAAATCACTTTTCATTCGTTTTTTCTATCTTTTTGGTGGTCACTGTATGGATAGGTTACATTAGTTTACCCAGTATCTACTGCCAAGTCTCGCATCCAAGGGACGGCTCGGTGCAGCGGGACCGGAAAGCCACTTTCCGGTGCTGCAAAGTTGTCCTGGTGGCAGTGATGTTCGTGGCGCCCATCGCACCCATGTCATTGGCCCAGAGAAATGGGATGGTTTTTACAGCACCAAAAATAGTTACCCTCTGGTAAACTGTTACATAACTATGGAAAATCACCATTTTCAATGGGTAAATCCACTATAAATGGTCATTTTCAATAGCTATGTTAAATTACCAGAGGGTAGTGATTCGCCAGGAATTCTGTAGGATGCTACTTTTCCATCTGGGGTGCGTTATGAAGCAATGGACTCGTCAAGGGATTTCTTACTGGAAACTTATGCGGGTTCTATTTCCAATTGCAAGGGGTCCTGTAAAAGTTCCCCTCAACTACTTGACAAGTAAGCTGGTAAAGCAAACACACTAATACAAACCTCGCATTGGGGATGGTTTACACCGTTTCTGGTATAATTGGGATGGCTTCTTTCTATATAGGTTTGCCATGGTTTGCCCCGTACTAAGCCAGACCTGAAATGACCGATTTTCTGGGTCCATTCGTAATCAGTGTTGTCAGCCGTCTCCAGCAGTCACCCCAGCCATCTGGGACCTTTATACTTGGATTAAGCCGCAAACATCTCTGGGCCACGGATGATGCTCTCCCACCCAGGCCTCTCGACGATGTAGCGGTGCTTGACGCTCCGACACCTCCTTCAAGCAGAGGGGGTTCTCTTCACCTGCGCGTGTCGGGTCTGCAGGAGCGAGCCAATACCGCATGAGTATGGGCAGATGTTTACCTTACTTATCTTACTGATATGGCAGTGTGTCAAAACCTTGTACCCCTGGTGAACATCAAAATAGCTGGTAAATGGATCCATACCCATATTGATAATAACAACATATATCAACTGGTAGGAGGAAACAAACTCTCCTCGGAAGCGACCATAACGGCGATGAGGGAGCAGCATGAGGATGTGGGAGGAGGAGGGAGGAGGAGGGAGGAGGGAGGCCGGGAGAAGCAGAACGAATTCGATGAAATAACGATGACGATGGCACAACAATAACGCTGACGATGCCGATTCGTTGGGAGGGGGATGAAGTATGGACAATGGGAGGCGAAAGATGGAACTGCACCCGAGCCTGAACCCAGGGCTTCCCCCAGTGCTTGAAGTTCTGGATGTGTCTCTGAAGCATTGGCTTGACCTAGCCACGTCGCAACGCGACATGACAACCCCACCATGGAAACCTCGATGTGGCATTCCGGCTGAATGGAAGGAAGATATGGGGACCCCAGTTATTCTCCTCGTCACCAAAACATTTGCAAGCTGACCCCAACCCTGCCAAGTGCGGCCATCTCAAAAATGGCAGTCATTTGGCATCATTACAGGTAGTTAGGGATGGAAAATCAACCATCTAAGTTGATTTTGGGTTTCATTGTGAACCCCACTTTCTGATCATACCAAGCCTTGCCGTAGCTTAAAGAGCGAAGGCTTTGCCACTGGAATTTTCTCTTCCTCCCAGGAGCCAGCAGGCAGCAACTGGCCCGGAATCATCCCGGGTAATTAGCGGACTATGGTGCATTTCAAAGCCACTTTTCCGGCAGGAATTTGTTCACTACGAAGGCTTCTCCAAAAGCATCGCTTCAGGATATTCCTGTTGGATCATTTTGGAGATTTACAGCATCGAACTGCAAAACGAAGACGTAACCTAATTATAAGTAGCCTTCCAATGCTCTGCATTGTCAAGGGCCCCACAGTAGGTGATAATTCCTTTCAAACAGACCGGATGAGACTTTTCCCTGGACACAGCCTTTCCATTTTCCATGTGTTTCAGCTCGTCCCCCCTCAGGCCCTACGCGAGAAAGTCTCCCACCTTCGGCTTGGTTCGCTTGACAGTCACGGAAGGGCGATCTCCCTGCAGACCCAAGGCTTCCTGCTCTTGCAGAAGCGCCTCCAACGGCTGCTGGAGAAATCCCAGCTTTGGAAGTAGATCCTTGGGGAATGGAATCAACTATTCCAACTATATGAAAGATGAAAAATTAAAAACCTGGGGGGGTACACACTGGATGAAACAAGATATTCATTAGTGGAAAAGGATTATATGATCGTCAGGTTTACGGCTCTAGAACGGCAAATTGCCAGTTCTTTTCCGCACATGGCCGTGTCAGGTCGCAGCATGGCTCGACCATCCACACAGGCGCGGATCTAGGGCACTTTGCCATGGTGGAACCCTGAACTATGGCGCACCGAGGTCCCAGCAATCAGCAATCATGCAAGCGTTGGATATAATTGTCATGCGTATATACAAATGTAATTAGTAATTATACATGACATGTGTGTAATTATACATGACATGTGTGTATATGCCATCAACACCGTTGATATACTACGGCTTCTTCGGATCCCAGAGTCGTAGAGTATCAATCGATCTGCACGGCTGGAAAAGTCGAAAAGTCTGCTGGGTCACGAGGGATTCATTTTTCGTCCAACCTACGCACATGCCGAGGCCATCCTTTGGGATCTTGGTCATATACCCACTCGACATGTGTTCCTCGGAAGCTCCACCAAGTCCTCTGGCTTTTGAATACCCCCAGGCTGAAAAGTGCCAAATTTCGAGCTGAAAAGTGCCAACGAATCTCTTGAAAGAGTTGCCTCAGTTTCACTGGATGTTCCTTCTCAATTCTTTATTTGGGCAACAGTCACTAGATACATCGCATTGCTTCTGTGTCGGACCCTCTGATGACAATGGCTGGTGTCCCGGCAACTGGTGAAACGGGACCAACCTCCGGTATTCCAACCTGACAATGCGGAATCCCAGATTTCTATCTTTGCCGTTGCCATGTTGTAACAAACCGAAAAAGAACTGCCTCTTGTACCTTCTACCTTCCCTCGGCATGTCTTCAAGCTGGCCATCTCGCAGGGCGCCAATCCCAATCCCATTCTTTTTTGGAGCAACCACTGATATCTTTAGTACTTGAGACTATCCCCCACCCTAAGAACTGTGGGAACGATATTACGATATCTCCCAATAATTCATGATAATTCACCATGTCAATTTTGCGATGAGTCCCCCAGTGATTTCTAATACTGAAGCAAACCCCAAAAAAATCCATGCGGTTTGAACGATGGCCTCCCTGACTTCTGAACGACCTCCGTCTTAGAGGCGTCCAGCCCAGCCGAGCCCAGCCGCCCTAGCCCTCAGATCCACAAAGAACTTGCGCCACTGAGGAAGCTTCCGATCGCCTCAGGAGCATGGTGAAACATCAGATCCACTGTCAGTCAGAACTGGCATTTTTCAAGAAGATGTATGTGCATTATACTTAATATATTTAATATATATATATATTTAATTACACATAATTATATATATAATTATATATAATTATATATAACTATATATGTGTGTGTGTGATTATATGTGCATTCCGAAAGTTAGTTCTGGGCAGTAAGAATCCCAGTGATAGCTGGCAGAGGCCCATGTACTAAACTAATAAAATACTGTAGTGATGGTTTAAAGCTGCATGTCCCCGAATGCCAGCAAAATGGCTCCAATACTATCATTGTCATCAACCATGAACCCATATTGAAACCAAAACAACTCTGCAACAACATCTTTCACATATTAGGGTTGTCATACTATAGACTTGTAATACTCTCATGGCCATATTAGGGTCTTCATTTGCACATGGCCTGGTGCGCAACAACTTTCTGCCAACTCACTTCGATCCCAGGCAACCCCACGGGCTGGCAGGATTCTCATCACCTGCACCAGGCAGGACAACATGACCCTGGACTGATAAGGTTCTGGCTTTGTCAAAAAAGGAACTTTATAGACCGAGCGAGAAGTAGAGAGTAGAGAGTAGAGAGATATAAGTTTATCTATGTATACCTCACTTTTACATATATATAAATATATGTATATATATAGACATACATATTGTGTTTCCTTACTTGTTTGTCAGCCAGGTTGTGCAAAATGTGCGGTTCAAATTTGAAATGAATTGATATGCAAAAATGACCATCTTCACTGCCCCAGTCGCCACTGCCCACCTGTGCAGGGAACTGAAAGGAAGCGAACCTCAGTTCATACCCCGCAGCCCAGGGCGGGTTATGAGTTATGACCTTGAAAGATATCATTCATCCTTTGTGGGCACACATGTCCATCAGGCATCTGCTGGTAATGGAAAAAAAATCACTTTTTTTAGGGCATCTCCGGCATCTCCGAATTCCTAACGAGTTATGTGACAAATGGGAAGCAAAGCCACAAGCCAAACGGTGCCATCTTCAGATTGCCACTCAGCCAGGTGGCGTTAGAGGCTTTTGGTGACAAGGTCTGCACCAGACTTTCAAGATTTTGAAGGAGATGACCTTGGACCCACAGAGTCATGAGCTCACATGAAGCAGAGCTCAACTTGAATCATACATCATGCAATCCCTAAGTTTTCCGACTTTCCCTTGTCGAATCATCAAACCAAGGAATCAAGGAATTCACACAAACCTGTGCCCACAAGCAGCTAAATCATGCTAAATCCCAATTTTCCCCATGGTGCTGCTGTCTATAGAATCTGGGTAAATTATAATATTTCACAAACCTGAATTAAGGCCATTTGGGGATGATTTCCCTTATTAACCATGATTCCAGTGAGGTCGCAGTGAGGTCGTTATAATTTACCCAGATAGAATCCGAAAAATTCTGCTCCTCAAAGTACCCAGTTTTGAGCGAACTCACGCTTCTCCAGCTCCAGTTGCGTGACTCGGCGCTGCAGCAGCTCCCTTGGAGGCAGCACTGGCCCGAAACTGCTGTCATCAAACATGGCTGGGAAATCCCAGAAAAACAGGGGTTTTAATAGGAAAATTATCTATAAATGATGGATTTTCATGGATTTTCATGGATTTTCCATTGCCATGCTTGAGTACCACATGGTATATTCTAGATTCTTGACAGTGGGAATCTTAAGTCACAAGCAGTTGGGATTTCAGCAAGTTGGATCTTGAAGCCCTGAAAGTTGGCTTTCTCCGTTTCGAAAAATAGGGGAAGAACGGGATAACGACGGGATACACCAAAATTGCCTGATCTAAATGGAAAATGATTGTCTACAGAGTCTACAGCATGGGATGGGAAAGGTTGCCCAAGTTCCAGACCAACTCATATCCCAGAAATGAGGATATGTTGAATTTGATTGAGCATAGGGTGCCTGGGTCCCAATTCCAAGGGATCTCTTCATTTTGCTGCCCCATTCAAATTACTAGCTTAGGGTATGCATGCGTCATATCAAGCACCCAAAATGGATGAGTTGATGCTGGAAATTGCCATCGTCTCGTGGGTCTGCCTTGGCCTATTTGAGGGGTTACACAGCACCTTCGATTCTTTCATCTCTCGATGTAGCATTCATTCTATTCATTGCAGGTGAATCCTTGCGGCTTCTGTGGGTTGTATCTCGCGCTGTATATCTGCCGATGTTAGTTCACTCCATTCACATGCATTGGCTTGTCATCCCCAAATCCAGATCCTTTTCAATAGCAAAACACAGCCGTCAAATGCATCAACTCTACATTTGATTCACGAAGCAACTCACTCAAACTTGCAGCTTTGTGGAACCGCGGTCCATCAACCGCTTGGTGGCCCCACTGGTCTTTTTGCCACATCTGACGTTCCTGCTCGTAGTTCAGGCGTTGACCTCCAAGACGCAACAGCCACTTTTCCAGTCAAAAAGGGGACATCTCCCAGCCGAAAACAGGTCTGGTGTCAGTCTGCCTCAGAATTCATCCAAGCCCCTCTGGGACTATGGGAAAACATTGCCATATGAAAACCATCTGGGAACTGTTGGTTTCCCACTCCCAAGTTTCATACCCAAAATTCCTTTATCCGACCGACCTCTCTAAGTTCCACACGCTCCAACCGCCTTTCTAAATCTTTCTGCGTCTCTACAGCGACTCGGCACTGTGCCTGGTCACTGCTGCGGGTCAAAGGATCCAACAAATATGTCTCTCTCAGAGACCCTTCCAAATATTTCTTGGGGTTCAAGAATATCTATGACGGTCCATACCTGCCAAAACGATCCAAAACGATGTTTTTTGGGTCAGACCCTCTGCCTCACACCGGTCCAACTCTTGCTCGAGCCATTCTACCTGTCATGGTGTCAACTCGCAACATCATTAAACATGGAGAGAAGCGGAGTAGTCATACTCATATTCCTGGAATTGATGTACATCTGAAACCTAAAGATAGTTATCCATCAGATGACACCCTAGTGAGCTTCTTGCAAAGATTTGCAAAGAGCCAGAAAACGACTCGCAGGCTCCAGACCATCTGGCCCGGCGCTTTTTCCTGACACTCCCCACCTTTGTTTCGGCGTCAAGGCCTCGGGCACCACAAAGTACCAGCCGCAAAGCGCCAGTTGAGCCCTAGAGTTCTTACATTTTCTCAGGATTCAGGATCTGTGATTTCTGTCTGGTTGGTCTTTGGGGGCTCTCGGCTCTTGATTTTAGGGTTGTAGTCATGGCAGAAAAATCATGGCCATCATCCGAACTTCAGGGATCCCAGCGCAAGATTCCAGGAAGCATCTGAAACTTGAATTGAAATATTTCGACCCAAGCCCTTGCGAGTGGAATCCCATTCTGGCTGGGCCCTTCTCAGGCACCCAATTGCTACGAGACTTCAGTGGTTTGATTGACTGACACTTGTTGCCTAAAGCAGATGCCAACATTTATTAGACAATGATGTTACAATGTTCACATTCTCGAAATCTCTTTGGGATATGTAAATGAACGTTCCCGAACCCTGACCGTCCTGAGACGGTCATCCCAAGTCACGCGCTAAATCTCGGTCAGGAGGCTGCCGGACAGTGGCACCACCGTCACCTCCGACGCGCGGCCAGAGGTTGGAGAGGTCTCCTCACAGGCTGAGTTTCAGCCGTTTCTCCAGGGTCTGAGAATAGGGCACACCCAAACTATCCCAAACTCATGCTTTCTCCATCTTTCTCCCTTAGAATGGCCCATATTTGGCATATTTGCTTGAATTTATTAATTCCCCCTTTTGGCCATGCAAACAATCAGGCGCTCCGCTCGTGTGCTTCCAGACTTTGGGAGCTTCGACACTGAGCCTCGTGTGACGCCACCCACGCGCTCCATCTTGACCAAAAGTGGGTTAGACATGGTTAGACTAGAAGAGAATAAAT